GTAAAGCATGTGAAAGTCCTCGCACATTTCTGGTACATAGCAAACTATCCATAAATTTTAGTGATTATTTAATAACATTATTGTTATTTTCAAAGCATTTATTTACTGTCTTTGTTTTTTTTTTCTTCTAGTCCAAAAGGTTTCCCAGACTGATCAGTCTAAAAAGAATCTACTTCAAGATGAAATTTAGACTAAATAAAAAGCTACTGTGGTGAGGTTTTTTTTTGTTAGTTTGGATCATAATCCATTTCTAACTGAAAAATGTGATACATTTTGGTTTGTTCACCTGGCACAGTGTTCCTTGGGTCACTTCAAAGAGCATGCTTAAGATGAAGTCTTCACACATTCCTTTTTAAGCCCCATCCCTTATGGCAGCTAAAGACTGTCCAGATTGCATAACCTATTATGGTTGCAAAACAGGTCATGACATTTCCTTCTAGATGAATTTGGCCTTCCTATGCTTATCATTAAACAAAACACTGCTTTTAAAGCACTGCTGAATGACCAAACGAATCACATTTCCTGTCCACATTGGCCCAGTGCATGGTTTGTGCAGCGTTCCATGATGCCCTACTTAATCTTGACTTCATCAGCTCAGCAAAATGCTATCTCTCAGCGTCATAAATCTTATGTTCTCTTTATGTAGTCTTTCCCCTTTTGAACATTTTTAAATCCCTGGCTTTAAACAGTCTCATGATTTCTAAAGTTGTTCACTTTGTTAGATACTTATGTAATTCACAACATCAAACCTGTTCTTGGAAGAACATGAAAGAAGTTGATTTTGTCTTAGATGACTGATTGTTTTCTCTGCGTCCTCTGCAAATGATGAGTCCCCTGGCTGCTGGGCAATGGGGGAAGGGGTGTGTGTCAAGTAAAACCATTATTGGCAGCAAAGGCATTTGCAAAGACCTTGCTTGAAGTAATATTTTTTGCCTTCATGCTTCTTTCTTTCTTTTCAAACAGAATCAAGTGTATACTTTTCCAAGTTAATGGTGTTATTAAAACAATAATTGAAAGGCACAGTGCTTGGTTGTATGTGAAAACCTGAGTGTCAGTGTGGGCTTGGTGTAGCTGCCACCAGCAGAACAGGGGTTGGCTTTGGTTTATTTGAAGCTCCACTAGGTGATTGCATTTCTGTTGTGTGGCTTCCTTCCAGCTGTCCAGCCCCAGATGACCCACTTTCCCTTTCTTGAGTGAGCCTGTCTGCCCAGCTGCACTGGAACACTGCTTCAGCACTTTGCCTCCCTCTTGTCATCTTTCAAAATCAGATGTGCACAGTGAAATCACATCTGGTTGTCTGGAAGTATCCAGCTCAAAAGTCACAGGTTTGCTGAGGAGATGGTACAGAGGTTATGTGAACGGGGACAAACATCCAGGGACAAGCACATGGGCTGTAGCAGATCTGGGCTATTACCTCCAATACCAGAGAATGTAGAACACAGTGCAGGTGATGCCCCAGAGACTCTTTCCTATTGTTAATATTGTGTGAACAATAGCCAAAGAGGCCACAGGACAAGGGAACTGCTGCATCCAATCTGAATTATTCAGCCACTTTTTTTCTAACTTCCTTCATTTTAAAGAATAAACCATCTATGAATAGTAATATGAATAATCCCCAAAGTATAATTTTAAAAGTACATTCATGGTGCATTTCTGCTTCATTCTCCTTTTTCCCTTAATAATAAGCTTTATAAGCTGAGAATCTTTAAATGGAGCTGTTCAATCACCATTTCCATTCATCTGTCCTTCAAGGCTTATCTCAATTGTTCATTGCTTTACAATTTAGCATCATTCCTTCCTTTTTGAGTTCCATTAAACTTCAATTATAATATAATCTTATTCCGTGCTACTTTTCTAGTTTAACTATAATTCCTAATGAAATTTCATCTCCCAAAAGGACAAAACCTTTATCTGCTTTCATGGGGGCCCTCCTACATATTACCACTTCCTTCCCAACCACCTGATACACAGTAGCTACTCACATATCTGAAGTGTGGCACACAGAGAGCCAATCACCAAGACAATAACCACAGTAAGCAAATGTCAGCTTTCACTGAAGACAAACCAAAGGAGAAAGACAATGCCTAAGAATGAAGTAACAACTGCTTATTAAGCAGAATTTCTTAAACAGCACCATCCAAAGCAGCTGTAGCAGAATGCTGTTAACAGGCAACAAGAGTACTTCAAGTGTGAAGCTAATGCTGTTATGTACAAGTGCATCTGTCAAGAAGACCATTTAAAAAAAAAAAAACAGTTCCTTTAGAAATCTTCTAGATTGAAGTTCCTGAATACCCTACCAAACTTCCTGAGTCTACTGGGCACATTCTAGGAAACTGTACTGTTAAAAATTATTGCTGTTGGGATCAAAGACAAGGGTTGAAATAAAATGAAATTTGGATATCCCCTCTGGCATTAAACTTTCCAAGGGCCTCCCTTTCTACTTATATTTAGACACAAGTGTCTCACTTTGGCCCATTCCTGGTAGTCCCTACAGTGGCTCCATCAAACTCCACCTCCTCGCATATATTTCATTAGGCAATCCCCACATTCCCGAGGGTGGATTTAGTCTCTAATTTCTAACCAAAAGAATGTAGCAGAAGTGATTGGATGTTCCTTCTAAGATTAATTACATCTCTGTCTGGATCCTCTGTCCAGTATTCTTCCTCGCACCCTCAACCCTGCCCTAGTGAAACAAGCTGAGATATAATATGCACCATCTGGAGAGGCCCCCATTTCAAAAACCTGAGGGAGGGTCCCAACTAAAAGAAGGAAAAGATCTCACTGTAAATTGAATCTTATTTGTAAATGATCTCAGAAGTGGATCCTATCCCAGTCAAGCCTCAGTTGAGACCACAGTCCCAGGCTGCTGATAGACCACAGAAACTCAAGACAATAAATGCCTGTTATGAGCCACTAGGTCTGGGGTAATGCTGTGACACAGCAATAGAAATCCTGTACAATTTTCTAGATCTCAGTGTCTGGACCTGTCCTCTTCCTTCCTTCCCCTCCTCTCCTCCCAAACTCTTTCCAGCTACACTGGCCTCCTTTCTAATCTCCTCTCTGGCTAAATTCACTTCTACCTCCACATCTCTGCACAGTGGAGCCTTCCCCATATACACTGTTCCCATCCTGCTACAAAGCTGGCTCCTCTTTTCTTTCTGATGGCAGCATAAATGTCACCTCAGTGAGGCTTTCAGGATTCTCCCTTGCTGACTCTCCCTCACAGCATCCTGCTTCATTTCTCAATGGCAATTACTCTTCTCTCTCACATGGATTTTGTCTTGTGACTCAGTCCACCTGTCCTCTAGACTATGAGCTCCTGAAGTGTAGAGTCTGCATCGATACTTTCCAGAGTCTCACCAGATCCTATAACTACCCTTGAAAAAGGGAGTCTCAGAGCATGTTTGCTTGGGTGAGTAATGCGAGATCTGAGCCCCTTTTCCAATCTCTGGGCAGCATACGTGAGGCTCTGAATGCTAGCAAAGTAAAGTGCAAGTTGGGTGGCAGTTGGCAGGACACCCAGAATGACACTGTGGGGCCTCTACCCAAGCTCCACTTGTTCTACTGAGCACAGGGGGCACTGTTCTTCCTTGGTGGTCTGCTCTGGCACTGCAGCCCCAAGCAGGGAAAACCAGAAACGAAACTTTGACTTGTCTTTGGATGTCTCCAGGGGCTCAAATGCAAGCTAGAGGAGTAATGAAGGGACCTTGGAAAACCCCCTTGTCTGGTTTCTCCCTCTACTGGCTCTGGGGTGTCCAGCTCACTCAGCAGGCTCTTCACCAGAACCTGAGCATGACTTCAGCTGCTATTCCAATGAGATCCTTAAGAGCCCAACATTCTTTTTTTTTTAATTTAATTTTTTATTGTTGGTTGTTCAAAACATTACAAATTTCTTGACATATCATATTCCACACTTTGATTCAAGTGGGTTATGAACTCCCACCTTCACCCCATACACAGATTGCAGAATCACATCGAGCCCAACATTCTTGTCCCTAGGCCCTGTATGAGTGGTCCTGGGATCTGCCACTTTCTATACCACTTCAAGTCCTCCTCTCATAACTCCCCCGGCAGCTGTCTGCTCTGAAGGACCCCTGGGGAAGAAGGCATTTTTCAAGGATTCAATGCACCGTGTATCATTATGGAGTATTAAAGCTAACACCTCCTCAAGCCTGTAGGACCTTCAGGGTCATCTGCTCCAAGCATCCCAATTGTAAAGAAAAAAGCAAGACTATCTCTCCTGTATCCCATACTACCAGCTCCACACAGCGGGTGGTAATTGTTAGGATGAACTTGAATCAGGCAACAGCATCCTGAAACATTATCTTCCACCGTAGGACAAGAGTCACTCTATGGTCACTCAGGCCCAGCAAGACAGTCGGCCTGACCTAAACCCCAGACAGTACCCTGTAAGGAGAACTGCTAACCGGGGCTGATACCTTGAGAAACAGCCTGTTCAACATGGAACAGTGACCACCACAAAGAATGACAGTAACCACAAAAACTCTTCCCTGACAAATCTGTCTTCTGACAAAGACAGAACCACAAAAATTACTGCCTCCCCCCACACTTCCCTAGGCTGTATGTAGAGGACTGGTCCCAGCAGAGGTTGGACCCCCTCCGCAGGTTTGTCCCACTGCCTCTCCTATTTCCTCCTGTTAGGTTCTTTCCCCTGGGGTGAGAGGCTTACCCTAGACCCAGGTGTAGAGGGGTGGATAGAGGAGGATCCCAGGCAGGCTGTTAGCCAGAAGTAGCCTGGGGATGGCTCTGGGCTTGGAAAGTGCCTGGGAATCTTGGGGTCCCCTTCCCCAACATCCATTCTAAGCTTCAGCCACGTTGCTAGGAAACCAGAGGAGACGCCACGTGTGGGAGCAGAGAAGCGCACCTGAGCACAGGTTGTTAGGCCCAAAGGAGGCGGGCAGCACCGCCAGCCAATCAGAGAACCCTTTGGCCCATTGGCCCTGCTGCCTCAGCGCCGCCAACCAATCGGGGCGCAGATTTCAGCCCGTCGCAGCTCCAGCCAATCAGGGAGTTCTCCGCGCCTCACTCCGGTCGCCTCTGGTCGCGGCCGCGGAGACTCGCCGGGGCCGGTCCAAGGCGAAGGTCTGGAACCGCGGCGGGAACCATGGAGAAGGTCCCCGCAGTGGGAACCATAGCGAAGATCCCCGCAGTGGGCCTGGGCACCTGGAAGGTGAGGCGGCCTGGCGGGCCGGAGGGGCGGCCCGAGACGAGGCTCCAGACTCCTCCAGGCCCCTCCAGGCCCGCTGTCCTCTCCGCTGGGGTCTGGCGGTCCCGCGGCATCCCGCTGTCATTCGTGCTCCACGGGAGGGGAAGGAAGGGCGGCCTGCCTCCCCTCCCGCCTTCTGAAACCTGATGCAGGGCCTAGGTGCCCGCCTGCTGCGAAATCGGGCGGGCCCAAACTTTCCAAAACAAAATCTTTTTTTTTTTTTTTTAAATTATAATTGTTCTGATAATTGTTCAAAATAACGGGGTTCGTTATGACAGTTTCATATATTCACAAAAAGTGCGTTGATCATAGCCACCCTCCCTACTGCCCTTTCTTTCCTCTTTGTCCCTCCTCCTGTTCTCCTTCCCCTTCCTTAATAGTAGCCTGCTTTATGTTCCTTTTCTCCCCTCCCCTCCCCTCCCCTTCCCTCCCCTCCCCTCCCCTCCCTCCATTCCTTCCTCGTTTGAGAGAAAATATTCAATAATTGTCTTTCTGAGTCTGGTTTATTTTTGTAATGTAGAATTACCCCTTTGTGTAAATGATGGGATATTTTGGCAAACACTTATCTGAAAATGGCGAGTGCAGCTAGGTATTTCAGAATGGTAGGTGAGATCCAGGCCAAGTCAATAATCCTTAAGATGTTATGTTTGGGGAAGCCAAGAGGAGAGGCTGTTAGGCTTGTGTAAGGCAGAAGACTAGAAGACCGGGAAGGTTATCTCTGTTGAAAAGATGAGGAAAGTTTAGAATTGCCAACTTGGTTTTAAAAATAAACTTTGGAACTTCAATTTCCCTATCTAGAAACAACCCCCTTAGTGGCTGATAGTACTAGCAGTTTGGACCTTTCCCTGCCTGAACTTTGTAATCCCTGCCTGTGATTTGAAAGACAGCACTGACTACCAATGTGCTCTTAAAAAATAAATTTAGTCCTTGATAAAAAGATGTTCATATGAGAAGTCACATGGGAGTTATTGATTGAGTCAGGTTTAGAATACTCAGCCCCTGCTAGTTCAATGTTTAAATTATTTCTCCCATCTGCCAATCAGCTTTTGAAGGTCAAGGATATGCTTTGTTCATATTGGTTCTCAGCATCTAGCCGGGAGTGTGATATTTGGTAGCCATCCTTGATGGGTTAAACTGTTATTTTTAGTAGAACAAGTTGAGAGTATTTCTTTTTTTTCTGTTATGTGAAAGATTTCATGATAAATTGGGATTATTCTTCTTGGAAATTTTCTAGAACTCTGTAAATGGTGGTTTTCTTTTATTTCTAGTGGCTTCATTTCTTTAATAATTACAAAACTTTTCAAATTTTATTTCTTTTTGAGTTAAATTTTTCTGGAGTTTCTTCTATTTGCTGTCATTTTTCCAAATTGTTGGCATATGTTCTTTTAAATCTATTTTATATTCATATCCTGCTTTTCATTCATGTCATTTTATTTTTTAAAATTGATGTTATTTTGACTAATCTTGCCAGAAGTTTTGTCTATCATGTTAAGGTTTTTCAAATAACTGATTTCTAGCTTTTCTGGTCTTCTCTATTACATCTTTGTTTCCAAGTTCATTAACAACATTTTTATTTTTATTTTCTCTTTTCAACTTAAGATGGATGTTTGATTTACTAGCTTTCAGCCACTCTGAATCTATTGCTTGTTAAATGAAGACAATTATACTGCTATACTTTATATTTGAAGTGCAGAGGATGTTTGTCAATTACCCTTCAACTGAGGATATAAGAATCCCCAGTTTTCTGAGACTGTAAACTTTCTCCCACAATCTTCCCATAGTTCCAATCCCTTGCCTTGATAGAGCTCAATTTGCAGTAACTGCCTTCTTTTCTGAATTTTTCTATTGCTGTGGGATCCAGACTACTTATGTGGATTTGGGTCTATGCTTTTTTGTGTGGTAGATTGCCTTTATGTAAGTATGTATCATTTGCTTCTCTATTCTCAGGTGGACAGAGAGAACTGGAGGTTGCATTTCTCTGACTTTGATGGAACACTTCTTTTCTGCTGATTTTGCAGGCTTCTCCAGGAGAAGCTGCTGAGGCAGTGAAGGTGGCCATTGATGCGGGGTACAGGCACTTTGACTGCGCTTACTTATACAACAACGAGAATGAGATAGGAGCAGGAATTCGACACAAGATCAAGGAGGGTGTCGTGAGACGAGAGGACCTGTTTGTTGTCAGTAAGGTAGGCTTTTTAGCTGCAGGGACAGTGGAGTCCCAGCCACTGTACTCTTAGGCAATGGAAGAGCTGAACTTGCCTTGCTTGGAGCACTCACCAGTCTCCTGATGGGAAGAGATGGCTTTGTTTTCTGCTTGAACAAAAACTAACAAGAAGTATCACAGCTTAATAAACATGCTAAGTTATATTATATGTAGCTTTCTTTGCTTCATATTATGCATTTAATCACTCAGGTAGGAGTGCAGAGATCCCCCAATTGGTAAAACATTCTTTTTTTCTTGTATAATAATTTATCACAATACTAAGATGTCTAAAAACAGAGTTAATAATTTTCCTCTTCTCTGGCCACATTCCAAATTCTGTGTCTTCATCTTTCTGACTGATTCATGTGAACAGTCTTCTGCACTTTCTCTGGCTCATGCAGTGCATATGCTCATATGCAGGGTATTGGTTTGTTTGCTTTTTCAGGAGCAGAACTACACCAAACACATTATTCTACAGCCTGCTTTTTTTTCACTTATTATTATTAAGTTCTCTTGCTCCATCTTTTTTGCTAACATATATTTTTATTTTTTATTGTGCATTTTATAATTATACATATTAGTATAATTCACTATGCCATATTAATACATGCATATTACATAATTTGAACATTATCATTTCTCAATACCTTCCTTTTTCCTCCCCTCCTCATAATTCACTTGCTGATCTCTACTGATCTCCCTTCCATTATTATTATTTCATTTAGGTGCATTCTTAAAATTAAAATTGATTGAGTAATAGGCACTTTGGCTCCAGTGGTGAGTAGGACAAAGTTCCAACCTTCATGAACTCTGTCTACACAGAAATTCCCAAGCTCAGAATTACCCGGAGTGATTGGAAAAATGCAGATTCCAAGTTCCCCAGCAGATCTGCTGAATAAGTAGCTCTGGGAGTAGTGCAGGTAAAGAAGATTTGGGATGGAATTGCAAACCAAGGGAGCAGATTGCACATAGACACAGGGAATGCAGATGCAGGGATTTGTAAGAAGCTTGGTGTTTGTGGATTACACAGTGAGAGGTGGCAGGGTGATGAGAAATGAGGCTGGGCCAGGCTGTGAAGATTTTGGTATGCTATTCAAGAAGCCTGTTTTCCTGGAGACAAAGTAAAACCAAGAGGTCTTTAAGTCAGGCAGTGTGTATTATAGGTAAGCGATATTTGTGTTGTATGTTGGATATTGTAGAAGCTGAAAGGAGCACGCATTTGAGACAGGCAAGAGACCAGTAAAGAGCAGTGTAGGTGGTAAGTGATGAAGGCCTAAACTTCAGCGAGAGAAGGATGCAGAGGAGGGGAATGAGTGTGAAGGATATTTAAAAAGGTAAGCCTTCTAAACAGTATAGGAGGTAGACTAAGTAGTACAGAATTAATGAATTCCTTTTTTTTTGACCTTGAAGCAAATGTTAAAACCAGGAGACCAGAAGTCATGGGTCCAAGTTCTAGCTGTCATTCAGGAAGTGTGAATATTTGTTGTTCATTCTTCTGAATGAATTCCAAATCTAAACTCCCATAATTCTGAGATTTAGGGAACTCTCTATAGGGAGTTTGCCTTTCTGTTTTACTGAAATACAGTTAAGTTTTATCATTCATTGTTGCTGTCTTAGCTGGGCAGAGGCTAAAGGAGAAGCCTTGGTATATGCTTGGCCAAGGAAGGAGACTTCTGAATATCAAGGTAGTGAGATGGGTAATGGGATTTCTGAGTCTTGCCCTGTAGTCTGACGATGGGTTACTTCTGAGTGGATCACAGCCAGCAGCAGAAACTTGGGGATTTCAAAAAGTCATAAAAAATGTAATTCTGTCAATATACTTACTGCCTAGAAGCAACTACTGTTAACAGTGTGGTGTATTTGCATTTTATTTTTGTCTGTCCCCCAATTTCTGTTAATACACTATACTTGTCATTTGATTTCATTTAATCTCCTTGCTTTTACTTTATCTTATGAATTTTTTTTTTTCACTTGCTATGACAGAGCCTTCAGGTCAGCTTCTGTCACAATTAATAAAAATATAGGAGGAAAAGTAATGAGGAGAAAAGCAATCATAAATTTTCCTACTTCCTAGAAGTGAGATGGAAATATCTACATTAATATAAGGCAACATATGTTAACTCATCTGGTTTAACCCATATGATTATCTACCTTAGTAATGGAGAACCTTGATCATAAAGCCAATTTGTATTGGAAACATAACGTTTGATTGTTACTCCTATCTTTTCTGCCGAACAGCATGGTTTTCTTTTTCTTGTATTGGTTTCAGTCAATCCAAATAACCATCAGCCCTCCCACCAAATGTCTTCTGGTGTCCTGAATGTCCCCTGAGTAGGAGGGAGGTAGCAAAGCCCTGTGTGTAGACTCCTGGGGAATTTTGCTAAGGGTGCTGCCACTGTCCTCTCCTGAGAACCTCCCCTGTTGTATTTGTTGTCATCTCAACTTGAATGTTTTGATCTCCCAGAGAGTAGCTCTGTAGGAATATGGAGCGGATGCTGTGTTGGCTGTGGATGGCAGCTGTGTGACTGTGGTCTCCCTTCTCCCTGTAGCTGTGGTGCACCTATCATGAGCCGTCCTTGGTGAAAATGGCATGCAAAAAGAGTCTGAAGGCCTTGAAGCTGGATTACTTGGATCTGTACCTGATGCACTGGCCAATGGGCTTCCAGGTACTGCTCAGTAAGTGGTTAGACTTATGTGGATGTTTAAAAAAATATCAAGATGGGAGATAGCTGCGAAGTAAACAATTACTTCTCATTAACACAGAAAATGCCTCTAAAATATGGATCAGGCCAGAACTTTCAAAATTTTTAATGCTTAAGGATTAATAAATGGATATGTATTTTCTGCCACTTGCCCTGTGACAATGTTAGTGAGGTAGGATTGTAAATGAACAAGGGTCAGATTACAAAGCAATATCTACAGTTGCTCTAAGGGTAACTCTAGATTTCGAGACTTTAGGGTATCTTTCTCTACCCTTCACTTCCTGTAACCTTTGGATTCTCACTTCATTATCTATCATTGTGATGGTGGTTCTAAGAAAAGGAAAGATCCTAGTAATGGAGTCACAAGAAGACTTAAGACTTGCTCTTAAGACTTGAAGGAGATCCCCATTAATACCCCATTCCTAGCCTGAAGTTATTAAACTTTTAACAATAAGCAGGGAACCAAGATCTTTATTTCTTACCTTGTGAGAAGTGAACAGTGAACAAAGTCAAGGCTGGCATAGACTTTGCTGACCACTCAGTCTTCACAATCCTTGATTTCATCAAAGTGGAGGCTGAGGCCTACAGAACAGAAGTGGTCAAGCTAGGCTAGTAATGCTTAGGACAAGGCCAAGGCTTAGATGGATGTCTCACAACAGAGCTCTTCCCAATATCTGGATTCCCTGTCCCCCTAGTTTCTAATCAGGGAGGATCACAAGCCCCAGTAAGCTCCTTTCTTCTGGTTCTCACAGCCTGGAGAAGAAGATGTCCCTTTGGATCTCAGCGGTGTAGTTATACCTAGTGATACAAGCTTCTTGGAAACATGGGAGGTAAGCTGAGACACCTCCTCTGGCAACATCATCCCTGGTGATACACCTCCAGATAGGAATGGGTATGAGACTTGAACACCTTATGTTCAGACCCTGAGTTGTCTACTTGAGACACAGTGTTTGCAGTGTAAATTAGGAAAGAAGACCTGAAGAACTCGGAGACCTCACATGACTTTCTTATTACCTTTCGCTTATGGTGGCATGTCTCTCTGAAATATTATTTTAGGAATAATTAATACAGACCTCCTTTGTTCCCACCCAAAGTTTACTTATTTTTAATTAGAATTATCACACGTTTGTTTCAGAAAATACAGAAGAATATAAAAAATAAAATTCAAAACTCCATGTTCCTGTTACACCATGATAGCCACTAGTAGTACGTTATAGTTCCTTTTAGTTCTCTTTTAAGCATTTTAGGACTCTAATGTTGGCAGCATGGTACAGCTCACAATGGGGAGGTGGGAGAATCGAATGGAGAGAGAGTCAACAAGTACCAAGCCTGTTTTCAGGGTCCAGATGACAGACAGGTCGTGAGGGCCCAAGACAGTGGTGAGGGAAACCAGGGAAGTGGTGGATTTGAGTGTGTGGATGCCAACTGGCCGGCTGGTGCAGGGAGAGCCTGGTAAGATTCCCTGAGGGCTCTAGCAGAGCTGGCCCAGTGCGGGACAGAGCCTGGTCATGTTTGAAGCCCAGGAAGAAAATGCACTTGCTGAATTCAGGGCAGAGCTTAAATTCAGGAGATGACATCTGGAGCCACTAGTATGAGGCTGCAAGGTGAAGCCAGGAGGGAGCCTGAGGTCACCCAGTTAGAGACATGAGGGAAATGACAGGACACCACTGGGCTGAGCACCACTGTCCTCTCCTCTTATGAATAAGTGGAATGTGGAGACGTGCTACCATGTGTCTCAGGTGTCAGGAGCAGTGCCCAGGGGTTCCTGTCCTTCCTGTCACACTGGGGTGCCTCTCTTTAAAGATCTGGGGTAAACTCTAGGTTTTTCATGTAGCACAAGCAAGGTTCTGGTGTTTGCAGCAGCACAGCAGCAATGGTGCACTTAAGCTCATCAGTCACTGTCCTTGTGACCTGGTAGGACTTACTCCTGACCATCCACACTGACAGGAAGGCCGTGCACTTCTGAAGAAAGAGGCAGGCTGGCTTGTGGTCAGTGGCAGCTCTTGGCTTCAGGTTGCTCTGCTCGTGAGTTCTTTAAAATGCTAAATGGCTAAGGTGGAATAGGAGAGTGACGGTGCACCATTGTCCTTTAAAAAGATGGTCACATAGGTGAAAAGGAAAGTGGAAAAATGAAACCAACAGGGCCCACATTGCCAAACACCAGATCAACAATTATTGAAGGTAATAGAAATATTAGTACTTAAAATGTGCTGGGTTTGCTCAATGCCAGCATTATCTAAATGCTTTTTTGTACATCATTTCATGTAGCCTTGAAACAACTCTCTGATATGTGTAGATAATATTGTCCTCATTTTGTGACTGAGGAAGTTTAGGCTTATCAAGGTCATGTAATTTTCCCAGTGTCTCCTGCTATTAAGAGATGGAACTGGGGACTGGGGTTGTAGCTCAATGGTAGATCACCTGCCTCACACATGTGAGGCACGGGGTTTGATCCTTAGCACCACATACATACATACATACATACATAAATAAAATAAAGGTATTAAAAGATGGAACTGGGACTAGACCTTACATTCAACAGTGGTTTTGAAGTTTCAAGTAAAATATTTTACAGTTTGGGGTGGATCCAGTTTTAGAAGTCCATGCAGAGTTGGTGAGAGAGGGCGTTTATCAGAAAAATAGACAGAGCTTGTACACACAGCAAAGTCCTTTGTTCTTTTAGGCCATGGAAGACTTGGTGATTAAAGGACTCGTGAAGGACATTGGTGTGTCAAACTTCAATCATGAACAGCTTGAGAGACTTTTGAATAAGCCTGATTTGAAGTTCAAGCCAATAACTAACCAGGTGAGCTGGTAGGAGGATGGGGAGGGCTTAAGTAGGGTAGTTGGCTGCCCAGCTGTTACCTCTGTTTGGCCATGCTGGAAATGGCAGAATGCATGAATCACAAAGGAGGTGTTTTTCTCCCATTTTTGTCAAAATTATAACTTAAGTTAGCAGTTAGGCAATGTCACAGGGTGAGCAGGCAAGCGGCTATCTTAAAGCCTTATATGATTGGACAGCGCCATTGACCTGTAGGGTGTGATCTGGAGCTTGATTCTCTATGCACACCTATAGGCATATCCTCGGATGTATTCAGAAGGGGAGGTCCTGGCAGGTCCCTCCTCATCAGAGGAAAGCAACCCTTCCCACTGCCTCTCCTGGCCCTTGCAGACTGGCAGCAAGAAAGGGACAGATGACCCAATATCTTCAGCCCAGCCCCTCAGGCTGCAGAGGTAAAGGTACATATTTTTTTCTTAATGCAGAGAAAAGACTTGGGAGCAAAGGACTATTGTGTTTGCTAATCTGACTGACTGGCTTTGAATGTCCAAAGAGCGTTTTTGCAGCCCTTTATTTTCTTAAACTTTTCATTTACATAGACAGAAACGCGCACACCTGTGAGTGGAGCTTGGTACATTTTTTAAACTGAGCATAGCTCCCCAACCTGCATCCAGTATCCCAGCACTCTACACTGCTTCTCCTTTCCACTCTGTATCCCTGTCCTGCAGGGGTAGCCACTGTTCTGATGTCCAGTGACATTGACATTTATAGTTGAGATAGTAACATGCCATCAGTTCTCGTGTCAGGGTTCTTGCCCACAGCGTTGTTTGTCAGTTCCCTCCACGTGCACGTGGGAGTACAGTTTTCCTTCTCATTTCTGTGTAGAATTCCACTGTGCAGATAGTGAACTTACCCGTTTTACTGGTGTTGGCCCCTGGGTGGGCACTTAGTAGCTTCCAGTTTGCAAAAATTAAGAATAGAGTATCACTTTCTTCTTTTTCTTTCCTTTTTCTCAATAAATTAGCTTTTTTCTTCAAAAATGTGATATATAACATACATAAAGAAGGTGCGTGAGTCATAAAGAGTATAGCTCCAGGAGTGTTCACTAGTGAACATATTCCAGTGTTCAGCACCCAGAACAAGAAACGTGATCCTCAGCCTTCTGTAAACTCTATGTCCTGTGCTAGTTCCCACCACAAAGAGCAGCCACCTACCTGATTTCTAAGACAGTGCAGCCTTTTCTAAGACCTCACATGCACACAATCTACTTATATGCATGTCAGTTTCTGTTTTGAGTAAGGATTTTTTCTTGAGCAGCATTTTAAATACCTAAGAATGGTTGTTGCCTTGTCAGGGTTGTGAGCAACCAGGAGCACAATACCAGAAAGTTCTAGAAGGCCACCTTTTCTAAGTTTTCCCAAAAGCTTACCTTGCTGGACACACACGATCCTGAGAGGACAGGCATAGTTCTTTCTAATTCCATCTGAACAAACACTTATTTTAAGTCCACTTATAATCTGGAATGGCCAGGAGAATTCAGAGCATATGGAAGGGACTACAACCCTGCTCTCAAGTTTCTCAAAATGTTCACCAGCATCACCTCTAGTGTGTATTTGTCATATGTAATGCCTTTATTTCATTTATTTATTCAACAAATATTTGCTGAGCACCTTCTCTATGTCTCCATTGCTCTCAGTGTTGGGGTACACCCATGAACGAAACCAGTTGAGACAAAAATCCTTATTTTCATGTAACTTAAATCCTGGTGACAACAGACAAAAATAATGAAATATATAGGGTGTGTCAGATAATTGTAGATACTATAGATAAAAATAAAGGACAGGAGAGAGGTAGGAGCCGCAGAATGAAGCAGCTTTTCTCTGAGTGACTGAGGAAGGCCACACCAAGCAGGTGACACTACAGCAAGTGGGTGTTTATGAGGCTGCAGACTTATAGGCCTCTACAGGACCTGGCATCATGGCCCTGGCATGGCCCAGCCTGCTCACATGCAGATGAGGATATTTAGGCCTTGGCCTGGGGCCTGCAGCTAATCAACGGTAACCAAGACACCAGTGTTGGTCTGTCTTTTAGAACTTTCTTAGCATGCTGTTATCTGAATTGTGTGGTATGCTGTGATTCTGTTTATAGATTGAGTGCCATCCATATCTTACTCAGAAGAATTTGATTCGCTTTTGCAAAGCCAAAGATGTGTCTGTGACTGCTTACCGTCCTCTTGGTGGCTCGAGGTAAGGATGAGTCAGTGACTGTGTTATTTGGAGTCCTGGCAGCAATAGATACCACCCTCCCCTTTCATCTGATGGAAGGACTCCCATCAAGAAGGATGGGCAGGATGTGGGGGGTCGCAAAGGGCAGTCACACCTCCCAAGCCCCTGGGCTGGAGATAGGGAACTGTTACTGGGAGCTAGAGTCATTTTTCCCTTCTTAATTTACATAACCAGCCTCAAGTGACCCCTTTTGCTGAGCTCCCCAGTAGTAAATCAGTCAGCTACTGACTTCTTTACCTGGACTTTTCACAGACCTCTTACTCATTAGATAATGTTAATTCCATGTGTTATCTTCCCCCTAGCCTTGAATTTGTACTGTGCTCCCTTTATCAGCTACCACCACCCACTTAGCCACCTAAGCCAGAACTATGGAAATCATCTTTCCCATTCCCATGGTCTAATCCCCCACCAAGACTTATTGATTATGGTGCCAAGAGAACTCAGATGTCTTTTGATCTCTGTTGTCACCATCTCTACTTGGGTGAAGCAAGGATTCCCTCAGGTTCTATGAGGAGCACCTTAGCTCCTTCCCAGAGCCATCCCATTCCAGTGTACTGCTCAGGAATACTGAAGTAGCTGTTTTCATATAATCATGTCACTTTCCTGCTCAAAAATTCTTCAGGTCTTGGCTGGCCCCTGAGCTGCAGGTGGCCTGGTCTCTGGGTGCCTCTAGCCTCCTCCCTCCCCTTGCTGCCGAACTTTACTGCATCAACCACACGGAACTACCAGTAGTTCCTTGGATAGAAAAGGGTGTTTCTACTCTCTGTGCCTTTGCTTATACTGATCTTTTTACCCACAAATCTATGTTTTCTCAATTTGTGCCCTCCTGTTTCTAAATGAAGTTCAATCCAGCATTATACCTCCTCCAGGAAGCCCTCCTTCACACGGTCCATGCCACCCCATCTTGTCACTATTTTATTCTTACTTTGTCCCACTGGGTAAAGTCCCCTGAATGCAGGGACTGTATCTTATTCATTCTTCTGCTCTCAGAACTTAGCTCAGTGCCTAGATCATATTAGGATCCTGGACAGGCTGAAATTATTTGAATTTTATCACTTGCATGTTTTCCATATGAAATGGGGCATGTGTATTTGAACTTGGTAGCAGCCAAGGAATATCTAGAAGGCTGGTCATATATCAAAGCTGAACTTTGGGATAGAAGGGCCTCTGATGGATGAGTGGGAGATCCAGTAAAGGAGGGGATACAACATGGGTCTTTGGAAAGAAAATTGGGCCATATTTGCTACCTTAGGGACCCTTTGAGGACTCTAACTAGCCCAGTGCTTGAAGCACAGTAACTACTTAATAAATCATAATAAATGGCTCTTGAAAAAATGGTTCCCACAGATGTATCATAGTCTTTCAAAAGTTCTTGTAGTGAAGTTTTCATGTGTTCAGTGTCCACCTTTTCATGGTATTGGAGATGTACTTTTCTGAGATTCTCACCATCACCACAAGATTGCCTGGCAGTGCTAGAGACCTCTGCTAGGTCTGATAGGAGACAGCCGAGGCATTAGAGGGTCTGTATGTCATTGGGCCTGCCACAGCATGGAGAGCCCACTGCATGGTGGTTTTTGTTGCCACCTGGTTCTTGATAAGAAGTTCAAAATGCCATGGAAAAGGGATATGTAGATATCACCAAAATGTTTTCCGTGATTTTCTCCAGACAAGTATTTGGGGTGATGTGCTTTTCTGCATCCTTCAAATTTCCAACAGTGAGTGTGTATTGTGATAAGAAAATACTGAACCTTTCATTTGGGGGAAAGGTTTTATTTTAAAGAAAGAAACATCTGTGCTGGCTTACCCTCTGCGCTGTGTCTCTCTAGGGAGGGAACGGACTTGCTGAATAACCCCACGATTCGGAGAATTGCAAATCACTATAACAAGTCATGTGCTCAGGTACTGGGGAGGGCTGTCACACCTGGGAATTACTTTCCCACATCCTCTCCCTCCTGAATTAAAAGGCTTGTCAGTTTCTAGGAAAGGGTTAGCTCACCTGGATGAGTCCAGGACTCATCAGAACTTCCCAGTGTGGAAAGTGAATTGTTGCCTCATAGTCCCATTGATTCAAGCTTGCGCTCCTGCCCCCCCCCCCCCCGCCAGGACTCAGGAGGAGTTCACAGGCAGTCCCCTCTGCCCCACCATCTGCATGGGAAGCTAGTGCAAAAGGGAACAGAAGAGTCCTTTATTACAATGGCTTGTTCTTGCCCTGATTTCTCTGGAGACTGGACACATGTTAAGGAAATCCCATTAAGGTGTGAGCAGGTCCTTGACCTTTCCTTGGGCCAATGGCAGTTACTACAGACGTACCGAGAGAACTGTTTGGAAAATGCCAGTGAGATTTCTCAAGGATTTAGCAGGAAGGAGACTTGTGGACTCTTGCTCTATAGTAAGGCTCAAGCTGTTAGGGAAATGACTTAGGTTTGACTTCATGAGAATACCACTGTGTGATGTCAATTCTCCTCTGCAGATTCTGATCAGGTTTCAGATCCAGAGGAATTTGATAGTGATTCCCAAGTCTACCAACCCAAAGCGGATTCAAGAAAACATCCAGGTAGGTGTTTTCTTTCTTTGATGCTAGAGGGTTTGGGAATTTATATTAGTTAGGGTGGGCTAGCTACCATAACAAACAGGCCCAGCATCCTGTGGCCTTGACACATCTGCTGTCTATTCCTCTGCACTGTCTTGGCAATCAATCTTTCTCTCAGTGACCCAAGGCCCTGGGCTCCTTCCATCTCAGAGCTCCCCTGTCCACCAGAGCTTGGTTTCTTTGCCATGCAGCCCACCATGGGAAGGAGGGAAAAGCATCTGATGGGAGAAATTGGGGGAGGCCAAGACTTTGGAGTGCACCTCACTTCCTTTCACATTCAGTGGACTGACATGATGATGGGGCCACACTGACCCTCAAGGGAGGCTGGATGTTGTCCAGCCACATAGTCATGAGGAGGAGGAAGAAGGTTGGTAGCACCTCATCCATCTGCCACATGGAGGCATGCTCACTGGTCGCAGGAGGGCATGGACCTTGAGTGGTGTTGGTTGAAGGATTTAGCCCTGACTCTCATCTAGAGACTAGAGAGGTAGGAGTGAAAAACCAATGGGTAGGTATCTTTATTTACCAGAATATGTATAAAACATGAAAGACTATGGTTCTTGTAAGGACAGCATTTTGAACCTCAACCAAGAATCACGGAAGTATGTGAAGTTTATTTTTTTACTAGATGTGCCTTCAACCCAGAGCACACTCTATAGCACAGTAGTTAAGATCTCGGACTTAGGATCTGACAGGCCTACTCACCACTTAGCAGCCGTGGGTCCTCTCTAACTTGGTTCCCATCAGGTGCATCTCACAGGATGCTGTAGAGTTAAACATAATGTAAATAGTGATTGGCATAGTGCCTGGGGTAGGAAAGTGCCTGGCATTAGCTGCCAGTCATCATCATGGGAAATCTCTCATGTAGCCCACACTCATTAGTCACGTGAGTACAGTGTAGACCTGTGTGTGCTAGGGGTTGCTAGTTACCTGGATCTGCAGTAGACATAGTTCTCTGCCCAGAGATTGTGTCATTCTTTGGGCTTCCCGTCTCCTGTGTGAGGCACTGCTGGATTCTCGGGGCTCAGTACAACAGCTAGCACAAAGCGTGCATGCCCTGATGTACCCACTGACTGACCTATTTGGGGCAGTGCCGATGCCTTTGGGCTCGCTATGTGTGTCAGGCTGATTGGTTTGGGAACAGCCTCTTTGTTGGCAAGAGTGCATTCTCAGAAGTGGAGGCAGGGTATCCATGAGGATACATTCTCAAGGGGAGACCTTGAGAATGGGGCAGAGAACCTTGCAGTACTCAGTCCTCTCCTGACTAGGCCCTTGCCTGTGGGGCACAGGTTCCCTTTCCCACCTGCTACCTGTGCACTACCCTTCATCCTTCCTGGGGCATCCTGGTTTTAAACAGTTCAAATCAGCTAAAGGTGACCAGCCAACTCTCATACCTGAGGAGTGTGAGAGTTGTAGCAAGTAAAAGTTCTCTCTTGGATGGCTTCTGACAAGCCTCTGGGAACTAGGCCCAGTCTTGGGCCAGAGGTTAGAATTTGGCATACAGTAGCTGACATTGACTCCTACCTGGGCCCAGCTATGGTGCTCTCAGCCCCCACAGGGCAGCCAGGATTGCTGCTGGAAGGTCAGATACTCAAGAAGATCATCCGACTCTCTGAATCTGAGGACCTCCAACCCATGATGGTTCATAGCTGCACAAAGGTTTGGCAGATGCTAGAAGAGCCACACTGCCCTTCAGTTCACCTGTAGTAGCTCTCAGTGCCTTGGATTGGCATGGCCCCTTGTGGCAATGGATTTGACTCTAGGACTTTGGGGCACAGTCAGGGTGCCCTGTTCCTTTGCATTAGGTCAGCCACCCACTGGGGAAGATGCTGTCCCTGGGCCAGCCAGAGACAACCGCCTGACCTTAGGGACTCTCTAAAGCTGTTTCCTTCTCTCCTTAACCCAAACTACTCCACCAGCATATCTGCTCCTCCGATCAGAATTCCCACACTGTGTGTAACCAATTTCTCATGGTTTCAGGATGGTCATCTCCTGGGGTAGAGGCTGGCCTCCCACAGGCCTCTCACCCACCAGGGTATATTGGAATCACTTGCTGGGCCTTCGTGCCCTTCTCTGATCAGCCCCTCCACACTGGTGGGTGACACTCATGAAGCACTGTTGTTGTGGGAGTGGGTCACTGTCATCATCCTCAAGTGTGAATGAGGATGGGAGGGGGCAAGAATACTATTCCAGAAGAAACAAAACAAAACAAAACAAAAAAACAAAAAAAGATTACTCAGAAGAATGGTTCTGTGACACGGATGCTGATAGTGAACAGTTTCAGGGGCAGGTGGCTCCCTAGTTGGTGGGGTTATATGGAACAAATGGCTTCGTCTTTTGCAGGGGAGAAGGTGGGTCAATGGAAAAAACTTTTTGCTGCACCTTTTGACTGTTTCCATATTTTCTTTACTTCCAAAAGATAAAAGCAACATGTGTCCTGTCTTTTCAAGGTTTCCTAAAGTAGCCAAGGGTAAGCCAACTCCAACCAAGGGATTCAAATCAAAGTGCATTTCGGCCAGGTCAGCTGTGATGCAGGGCAAGTTCCAGAGTCCTGATGAAGTATTTCTTTCCCATCCTCTTGTCCCTTGCAGGTGTATTACAGTGCTTTGTAAGTAGTATGCAAATTAAATATGAATGAGCTGAAATTCCTTTAAAAATTTTATTTCCAGGTGTTCGATTTTGAATTAACAGAGAATCACATGGATGAAATCATGAGTCTTAACAGGAACCTTCGATTGGCCACATTCCCCACGTAAATATGCCTCTTTTACTCCTTTGTAAAATAAACAGAGAAATATTCCAATTGGATGGTTGACTCAGAGTTAGTTACAACATAAATTCTAGGTTAATTAACCCTTCTTACCATAATTTTTCCTTGTTTGAAAATGGGCCACCAAATGAACTCAAAGACTAATTTATATCCTAGGACATTAAAAATACATAATTATGTCATTTCAAATGTTTCTCTTAAAAATAATAATTCTTTGTTTCTATTTTTTATTCACTTTTCTGTTTTTCAGAACTGAAAGCCACAAAGACTATCCTTTCCACATAGATTTCTGAGAGAGCATCTCTTCTGGCTGCTGCTCTGCTCACACAAATCGGAAGGTTGGCACCATTGAGCCACCTCTGCAAGGCTCTGCAGTTGCCATAGACCAGCGTTAGCCAGGGATGGGACAACAGAGTGAGTGTCAGGGGATGCTTGCCTGGAGCAGAGCCTGCTTCTCCGAGAAATTCAAAGAACTAAGTGTCATCTAAGTAACGGAAAGAGTGTAGTTCCCTGAGGACTTGGGAACTGTCTAGGGAATCCCCACAGTTCTGAAGGATCATGTAATGCAAGTTAGTCCATGTGGCTTCTAAGCTCTAAAAAAAGACATCCTGCTTCCTAGATGGAGAGGTAGCAGCACACCCTCTATGTGATCTTAAAGCAAAATCCTTACCTGTATGGAAAGGAAACTGGTAAATCTAGAGCTCCATCTTCGTCAAAACAGAGATTTTTTTTCTTATTTTAAAATCTAAATTTTAATTTTTAATACTATTTTTAAATAAGGTCTTCTGGTAAGTCAAATTATTCCTGTGGAAACCCCAAATCAGAGAGGAAATATGGCTCCTGCCCCCCATACCCCCTGGTGTAGCCTATCCTCCGGCAGGAAGCGGCCTCCCAGGTGAGCCGAGTGTGAGGCACTGAGTGCTGCCTTGCTCATCCCTCAGAGTATCTGGCCTCGTTCTACACTCAGTTCCATACCAACTCTCTGGGGACCCTAGGGGATAGAACTTCTGTCACTGACCTCAGGCTCCTAGCCAGGGAAGTTAAGAAGAAAGAATGTCCATTGTCTGCCCCACAGTGCTCCTTATGGCCTCTCCCCTCTTCACGTGTCTCCACTTCCATCTTAGTATGAGCCTGTCAGCATTTCTGGTGCAAGACTCAGGGTAGGCAGGGTGTGATGTCCCAGCGGCTATAGGAGCTGGATGGGGATGGCTTCCCTCCATGTCTGTTTCCATTCCCATCTTATCCCTATTGGGCCAACTGAGTTAGGAGAGTAGGTTCTGTAGTCAGAAATGGTGACTTTCAAGCTCTATGATACTGAGCAAATGAGTTTGCTTTCCAGAGCCTCAGTTTCTGCATCTGCTCAATAAGAACAGGCTATTGCTCATACAGATTGTCTCCTAGAGGTAGGAATATCCTGGCTCTGGGCCCCAAGAGAGGGTTTTGCTACAAAAAGACATCTATTACTAATACAACAGCCTCATGTGAGAATAATCATGGCAGAGGTAGAATTTGGGGTCAGTTCTGTATGGATTGACCAAATCTCCAAGGAAAAGTTTAATAAAAAGGCTATCTTTAAAGACCCTGGGGAGTGGAGGGATATTTGGGAGTCTCCTACCACCTGCATATTCTCAGGCAGTGTCTAACTACTCCTTCCCTGCTCCACATCCATGCACTTTAAAAATTTTTCCAGGTCCATGAAAATTTTGACCAAGGCATAAGAGTAGTTATGAAGACAGATAGAACCATTTTATTACCCTAAGCAATAATCAGCCAGGCAAACTTAAAATATAACTGTTAGGTGTTTAGGATGCCATGCAACTGGGCAAAACCCATTCATTGGAAGTTTTTTTTTTTTTTTTCTTTTTCCTTTTCCTATCTTAGCTGAAATGCCAAGAGAAAAACTTTTAAGTGGATTTGTGTTTCAATTTGTATTTATTTTAATAGAAGAAAAAAGGAAAGAAAATATAAAACAGAAAAAAGAGAGAGGTATTATTGGAGTCAATTCTTAACCTGCTCACTGCTTGAAAGCCAATACTTAGGAGAGGAGAATTGGTGCAGAGGAAATCAGGTTTCATCAAGGGCAGCACCTGCACCCAAAAGACCATTTTAGAGAACCTAGGTATGTCCCAGGGCTTTTATAGGGTAGGAAAGGAGGTGCAGCAGTGGGACAACAGGCAGGAAGGCTGTTGGATGGGGTCTTCATCACCCTGGTGTGTCTTTCCTTCTCTCTCTTTTTTTTTTCTTTTATTCTTTCTGGCTAGGACACCACAATTGACCTTGACCACCTTAGGCTAGTTTGTTCAGTTATTTACACAAATATGTTACTTTTCTGCAAGTTAAACATCTCAACAGTTTATGGATTGTGTGCTAGTTGATGCTCAGGATTGCAGCATAAGAAAGGGTGTTCTACATTCTGATGTTATCCAAAAGTGCACCCCATGTTCTGGGGTCTGTAAATCTGAAGAAAGATTATTTAGCCAGTAACATCTAGATCATTTAGGTGCAGCTTTTCTTTAGAATTTAGGATGTCAGATAAAGGGAGAATGTTGTGGTTTAGATCTGGAGTGTCCCCAAAAGCTCATGTGTTAGGCATTGTAGCATGTTCAGAGGGCAAATGACTGAATCTCTCCAGTGGATTATAATTTGACTCCACCTACTGGGAGGTGGTGAATACTACTGGCTGGGGCAGTGTGGCCTTGGGGTTTATATCTTCCCCTGGGTGCTTCCTGTCTCTCCACCCATCCCAGCTGCCTTGAGCTGAGCAGATTTCCCCACCACACCCTCTGCCTCATGTCTGCCTTGCAGCCAGCACACCATGGACTGAAATCTCTGAAACCGAAGCCAAAATAAATCTTCCCTTCTCTAAGTTGCTCATGTTAGGTATTTTGATCACAGTGACAAAATGCTGACCAACACAGAGCAGCGGTCCAAGGAGCTAAACATCCTTTACATGTCTGCCCGATAGTTGCAGTGTAAGAATTATCTTTTCCCATGAATTAAAACTGAAAACAATACCTGCATAAGAATGCAAAGAACAGCCACTTGAGGCACTTTCAATTAGGTATTCACATCTTCCTTATATGCTTTAAAATTTTGAGATCCCATTTTGTTTCATATCAATCTCTGGAGAGTAAAGAAAAGTGCTTCAAGTCCTGTCACAGAATCATCAATGTTTTGCTTTGACAGGTATATCTGGGCACAGGATCTTTGTTTTTTTAACTTGGCAGATAGCCTTTGCCTTAGTTTGTCCAATCTGTGACCAAACTTTCTTTACTTGCATGGAAATTGTCTTGTCCCTGGCAGGTACCCTAGTGTCAACCATGCCTGTCTGTGACCAGGAGACTATCTTCAAAGTGTACAGTCTTTAATAGATGGTGATGGTGACCTTAGTGGCTCTTAATTTGATGTCCCATGTTCACCATTTCGAATACTTATTTTTGCTCTCAGAAGATTTTCAGAAACAAGTAGGGAGAAAAATAGTAAGCTAAATCAATTGTTGATGCACATTACTAACCAAAAATGAAACCAAAATTAAAGTGTTCACAAAAACAAGAAAACTTTTCAATTAGGCATTCAAATTATATATATATATTGAACTAGGCACACAGAACCAAAAGAGAACTCACCAGAAGACAAAGACGTACTCAGAATGTGAGTTCTGTGATATCTGAGTACTCACCCAGATGGTGCCCTTGCACCTGAGAGAGCTTGTCATAAAAGACAGAAGATACCTTTTGTCCCCCAAAGAGAGGCAAAGTCTTTCTTAAGGTTACCTTATTTAAAGCCAATGCCAAGGAGTCAACAGGGAGCATCTACCAGGTTTACCAGAAGGAGGGCAGAGCATGACCTGAAATAAGACTCACCAAGCCCAAAAGACCAAGGTGCAGCAATGGAGAAGGCTGAGGCGAATGTCAGAGCCACACTCAGCTCCAGGACCCTCAGAGACCAGGTACCCTCAGAGAACCTCGCCAAAGATTTCACTCCAGACACCAGATATGCCAGCCTAAATGACAGAGTCTCTAAAGAGTAGCAACACACATTGGGAAATGGCAGAGTGCTCTCATGGGAATGCAGTGTGCCCAGCAAACTCTAGATAGACAGACTGGCAGAGCTGGGCACAGGACTCTGGCTCCAGCAATGCCTCCTTCTCTTTGGTATCGGTTTAAGTTAAGCAGGGTACATTTTAGCTTAAAGTCCCTTTTGTCTTAACCAATAGATAGATCCCTCCTTCTGACCCAAATTGTGGGGAACATTTGGTCTTGTTTCCACCCAGGACTGCTCTTCTATCAGTAAGTTCTTCAAAATCTACAGGTGTGTATCTCCAGAATAAAAATTGGTCCTGCTTCTGTAGAAGCAGGTAGTGCTCTTGAGTGAAAAATTTAAATAATAATTATGAAGTCTAATACATGCTAACAAAGACCTTTCTCAATGTTTTTTTGTGATATGTATCATTTGTTTATTTAATATTTTTCTGCATGTGAATGATTTGTCTTCAAATAAGGATAAAGTTATGGAAATCAGTCTTCCTAATGTCAAGAGCATCCTGTAGCTACAGGAGTCAGAACGCTGTAGTATGGATGGAGGAGTAAACTCATAGATTAAAGGAACAAACAGAACACCCAGCAACAGACCTATACAGTAACTCCAACCAATTTTCACAGAGGTACAGGAACAACTCAAGAAGGAAAGAGCCTTTTCAACAAATTATGCTGGAAAAATTGACCATCCACAGAGGGGAAAATGAACCTTGGCTAACGTGTCATGCCTTTAACACAAAGACTAAGTCAAACTTTAAAGAACCAAGGAGAAAAATTGGGAGGGTATAGGAATAGGGAAGGAATTTTTAGATTTGAAACCAAAATCATCATCCCATAAATGGGAAAATTTATGAATTGGACTTTTTCAAAATAAAAAAAAATTGTTACAAAATGCTCACAAAAGAAATTAAAGCTTTTACAAATAGATTGTGGTATTTCTTGGCCTCTGTAATACCACCTATATGAGGAGATAGCTAATGCCTTGTTAGGGGTTCTTCTTCCTGCCGAGGACTGTGTAAGCCACCTGAGAAATTAAAGTCTAGAATAATTAGTGAAGAACAAAAGACAAAGAGAAAGACATTTTCAAAAGCAGAGTCCTGATAGGTTTGGTCCACGTGGGAGCTGAAGCTAGACAAGGAAAATGGCTCCAGTGATTTGTTTGAGAGGGTACAGCAAAGGCAGGGGTAAGGTTTCAAGGATGGAGTCTTGCTTCCTGATGTCTTGTAGTCAGTAGGTTGATTGGCATCTTGGCTGGTCACACCCATCTCAGGCTGTGCAGCTACAGCAGGTCACCCCATCTTGGGTGCTGTGTGGGATATGGCAGAGCAGAATAGGAATTCACAATGTCTCTAGGCAGTCTTACACAGAGGAAATGTCCACTGCAAGTTCTCAGACACCAGAGGTCCCTATTCATTAGGCTGCAATGCCAACAAAGTCCACACACAGCCCACGGATGGCCCTCAACACACATAAGCTAGTTCTTCATAATAAATCAAAAGTAGTTTCTCTGAGCAGGCTTAGAAATATCATATAAACTAGACACCTCCTCATTCTTAAGGTATTCTCTATTCATCAACCTAAATAACTTTGATACAAACTCCGATTTGGTTAATAATATCAAAAAATGAAAAATAGATAATTTAGGTGATGAAAAAAGGTAAAAGAAGGGTCAGAAGGGCTAAGGAGAGCCAAACTCACTTCTCCTTTGTGTTTTTGGTGGCTCTTATGACCAGCTAAAGCAAGGGAAGAGTCTAAGAAGGCAGAGGTGAATACACTCAGACTAAGCCTGGGAAGGTTGTTCCTTGGCAGCAATGGTGGAGGATAGGCCCCCTCTGTTCCAGGATTGGATTTCTTGGGAGGCTCCTGAGGACCAGACCAGCAGAAGAGACTGGCTATTGTCTATCCCTAGGGGCAGGTCAATCTAGTCTCTCCAAAGAAGCTCCCACCCAACAAAACCCCTGATTAGAAATAAGCCACATCTTAATTCTAAACACTGATAGTGTGCCCTAACCCCTCCCTGGTAAGAGGGGAAGCAGAATCTTATATCAAACAGCTTCAAACTTGAAGTTCTTCAACTGGTAATTCAGAAAGCAACATAAAAACAGGAAAGGGTTAACTACCCCCACCCCTTGCTCTATCAGTATGTAAATCAAGAGGAATTGGAAAGAAAGACTATTGGACATAGATAGTGACCACCCAAACTGGCCAAATATTGATAGTGCCAGTTACCAGTGAGGAGTCCTGCTTCCTCACATGTTGAAGTATAACATTAAAGCACGCCAAGGCAAGCATATAAAGCAGGGTTTATTTAAAAGGGGTAATACAGATTTATCCTGGGAGGGAGAGGGGGGCCCATAGCTGGTATCCTAGTATCCTGGTATCACAAGAAGTGAGGTGTTCTGCCTTTTCAAATGTCGTAAGCTTCCTTTAGTCTCCTGCTCTCTTCCCCCTTATCTCTTTCCTTCCTGCTTACATGACTAGGCCCAGGAAATGCTCAGTGGGAAAAGCTGAGAAGCAGATGGACTGGAGGGGTCAAGGTGGTGTGATCCTGGCAGAAAGGGGGCCCAGGGTGCATTAATTAACAACTTTTTTTTGGTTTTTATTATATTTTTAATTTTTTATTGTGGGTTGTTCAAAACATTACAAATTTCTTGACATATCATATTCCACACTTTGATTCAAGTGGGTTATGAACTCCCACCTTCACCCCATACACAGATTGCAGAATCACATCAGTTACACATTCATTGATTTACATATTGCCATACTAGTGTCTGTTGTGCTACGCTGCCTTTCCCATCCTCCACCCTCCCCCCTCCCCACCTCTCCCCTCCCCTCCCCTCCTCTCTCTCTACCCCCTCCACTGTATAACCCTGAGGGTCTCCTTCCATTACCATGCAATTTCCCTTCTCTCTCCCTTTCCCTCCCACCTCTCATCCCTGTTAAATGTTAATCTTCTTCTCCTGCTCTTCGTCCCTACTCTGATCTTAGTTACTCTCCTTATATCAAAGAAGACATTTGGCATTTGTTTTTTAGGGATTGGCTAGCTTCACTTAGCATAATCTGCTCTAATGCCATCCATTTCCCTGTAAATTCTATGATTTTGTCATTTTTTAATGCAGAGTAATACTCCATTGTGTATAAATGCCACATTTTTTTTTATCCATTCGTCTATTGAAGGGCATCTAGGTTGATTCCACAGTCTTGCTATTGTGAACTGTGCTGCTATGAACATCGATGTAGCAGTGTCCCTGTAGCCTGCTCTTTTTAGGTCTTTAGGGAATAGACCAAGAAGGGGAATAGCTGGGTCAAATGGTGGCTCCATTCCCAGCTTTCCAAGAAATCTCCATACTGCTTTCCAAATTGGCTGCACCAATTTGCAGTCCCACCAGCAATGAACAAGTGTACCCTTTTCCCCACATCCTCGCCAGCACTTGTTGTTGTTTGACTTCATAATGGCTGCCAATCTTACTGGAGTGAGATGGTATCTTAGGGTGGTTTTGATTTGCATTTCTCTGATAGCTAGAGATGGTGAGCATTTTTTCATGTACTTGTTGATTGACTGTATGTCCTCCTCTGAGAAGTGTCTGTTCAGGTCCTTGGCCCATTTGTTGATTGGGTTGTTTGTTCTCTTATTGTCTAATTTTTTGAGTTCTTTGTATACTCTGGATATTAGGGCTCTATCTGAAGTGTGAGGAGTAAAGATGTGTTCCCAGGGTGTAGGCTCCCTATTTACCTCTCTTATTGTTTCTTTTGCTGAGAAAAAACTTTTTAGTTTGAGTAAGTCCCATTTGTTGATTCTAGTTATTAACTTTTGTGCTATGGGTATCCTATTGAGGAATTTGGAGCCTGACCCCACAGTATGTAGATCGTAGCCAACTTTTTCTTCTATCAGACGGCGCGTCTCTGATTTGATATCAAGCTCCTTGATCCATTTTGAATTAACTTTTGTGCATGGCGAGAGAAAGGGATTCAGTTTCATTTTGTTGCATATGGATTTCCAGTTTTCCCAGCACCATTTGTTGAAGATGCTATCCTTCCTCCATTGCATGCTTTTAGCCCCTTTATCAAATATAAGATAGTTGTAGTTTTGTGGATTGGTTTCTGTGTCCTCTATTTTGTACCATTGGTCCACCCGCCTGTTTTGGTACCAGTACCATGCTGTTTTTGTTACTATTGCTCTGTAGTATAGTTTGAAGTCTGGTATCGCTATACCGCCTGATTCGCACTTCCTGCTTAGCATTGTTTTTGCTATTCTGGGTCTTTTATTTTTCCATATGAATTTCATGATTGCTTTCTCTATTTCTACAAGAAATGCCGTTGGGATTTTGATTGGCATTGCATTAAACCTATAGAGAACTTTTGGTAATATCGCCCTTTTGATGATGTTAGTTCTGCCTATCCATGAACAGGGTATATTTTTCCATCTTCTAAGATCTTCTTCTATTTCTCTCTTTAGGGTTCTGTAGTTTTCATTGTATAAATCTTTCACCTCTTTTGTTAGGTTGATTCCCAAGTATTTTATTTTTTTTGAAGATATTGTGAATGGGGTGGTTGTCCTCATTTCCATTTCAGAGGATTTGTCACTGATATACAGGAATGCCTTTGATTTATGCGTGTTGATTTTATATCCTGCCACTTTGCTGAATTCATTTATTAGCTCTAATAGTTTCTTTGTAGAGCCTTTTGGGTCTGCTAGGTATAGAATCTTATCATCTGCAAATAGTGATAATTTAAGTTCTTCTTTTCCTATTTCTATGCCTTTAATTTCTTTTGTCTGTCTAATTGCTTTGGCCAGTGTTTCGAGAACTATGTTGAACAGAAGTGGAGAGAGAGGGCATCCCTGTCTTGTTCCAGATTTTAGAGGGAATGCCTTCAGTTTTTCTCCATTCAGAATGATGCTAGCCTGAGGCTTAGCATAGATTGCTTTTACAATATTGAGGTATGTTCCTGTTATCCCTAGTTTATCTAGACTTTTGAACATAAAGGGATGCTGTACTTTGTCGAATGCTTTTTCTGCATCTATCGAGATGATCATATGGTTCTTATTTTTAAGTCTATTGATGTGGTGAATAACATTTATTGATTTCCGTATATTGAACCAGCCTTGCATCCCAGGGATGAATCCTACTTGATCATGGTGTACAATTTTTTTGATATGTTTTTGTATCGGATTCGCCAGAATTTTATTGAGGAGTTTTGCATCTAGGTTCATTAGAGATATTGGTCTGTAGTTTTCTTTCTTTGAAGTGTCTTTGTCTGGTTTAGGTATCAGGGTGATGTTGGCCTCGTAGAATGAATTTGGAAATTCTCCCTCTTTTTCTATTTCCTGAAGTAGCTTGAAAAGTTTTGGTATTAGTTCCTCTTTAAAAGTTTTGTAAAACTCTGCTGTATACCCATCCGGTCCTGGGCTTTTCTTAGTTGGTAGCCTTTTGATGGTTTATTCTATTTCCTTAATTGATATTGGTCTGTTTAGGTTTTCTATATCCTCCTGACTCAATCTGGGCAGATCATATGACTTCAGAAATTTATCTATGCCTTCACTATCTTCTAATTTATTGGAGTATAAGGATTCAAAATAGTTTTTGATTATCTTCTGTATTTCTGAAGTGTCTGTTGTGATATTGCCTTTTTCATCCCGTATGCTAGTAATTTGAGTTCTCTCTCTTCTTCTCTTCGCTAGCATCGCTAAGGGTCTGTCGATTTTGTTTATTTTTTCAAAGAACCAACTTTTAGTTTTGTCAATTTTTTCAATTTTTTCAATTGTTTCGATTTCATTAATTTCAGCTCTGATTTTAATTATTTCTTGCCTTCTACTTCTTTTGCTGTTGTTTTGCTCTTCTTTTTCAAGGATTTTGAGATGAAGTATGAGATCATTCATTTGTTGGTTTTTTCTTTTTTTAAGGAATGAACTCCAAGCAATGA